TCCAGGTCATTGATGAATATGTTGAACAAGACTGGACCCAGTACTGAGGCCTGGTGATCACCAGGGGTTTGTGATGAGGAAGTATCTGTTACAGTACATCATACATAAATCACAAGCATTTATGGGAGCTCATTTACCATCATTTCAATAGACTACAGTATGTAGAAGGCTCATGCTGCAAAAACTTGATTCAGAAGAGAAATTCGTTCTATACATGCTCTATGCTGTCCTAAATCATCCTGGTTTGAGATTTCCATAAGGGAATTTCTGAACAAGGCAGATTTAAGACTGTGTAAATGCTTCACTCTAGTACAGCATTAATAGACCACCTCTTGTATTGGGTGTCTGTGTCCAGGTTTGGCAGTAGAGAGACTGCAGGGGTGGCCTTTTGAGCAGAGACCAGGCTGCCTTGTCCCTGTGAACAACTGGTGGCATCTCTGTGAAAACATTTTTAAATAAGGGCTAGAAATGTTAGGCAGGGAGAGAAGGAGAAGTGAAAAAGACTGAGAAACAGCAGAGGGAACCCCAAGGTCAGAGAAGGAGGGGCTCCATGGCTGAGCTGATATTCCCTGCAGCCTGTGGATGACAGACACCGAAAGAGAAAAAAAGGTATGCGAAGAAAGGAATAGCAGAGAGAAACCACTATGTCCTGATCACAACTCCTCATCCTTTTTGCACCTCTTGCTTTCTCCCTGAAGAGACTTGGACTGAGTGACAAGAAGGGAAGAGGAGAAAAGTCTAGGAGGAGGGAAGAAGTCAAGTTGAGCCTGTGAAAGTAGGGAGGAAAGTTGTTGTTTTAATGTTTGTCTCTTTTTGTTACCTATTACCCATAGTATCTTTTTTAAAATTTATTACCAATTAAACCAATTTTAAAGTAAATTTTCCCCCAGTTGACTCTGCTTACCATGGTAATCAGTAAGCAGTCTCAGTGTCTTTATCTCAACCCATGAACTTTTTCGTTCCTATTCTTCCTCCTCTCTCTCCTGTCCTGCTGGGGAGGGAAGCGAGCAAGCAGCTAGGTGGGAGTTTGGCTGCCAGCCTAGGCTAAACTACCACACTTCTCAACTGAAAACCCCCAAAATGAAGTCCACAAGCCAGAAAATAAAACTGGTCCCCAGTGTTTTGTCATTTATTGAAATGTGTGGCTAAAAACGTTTCAGGCACACAGAGAAGTACTCTGAAGAGAAAGGATATAGCTGCATATTTGCCACAGGATATAATCAAAACACTGTGATTCTCCCCTCCCTAATGGGATTTGATTAGAGAATCACTCATAGACGCTCTCTGAGAAACTGTAAAACATCTGAGAAGGCACAGAATGTATTAACCCCTGTCGCTGTACAGAAAGGAGCTTTGTACATGAGGGAGTTGGAGAAGTGCCAGGGTACATGTACTCAAATATCAGTCCATGCTGAAAGAAGCAGAGTCTGTGAGCTTTATCTCAACAGAAAGAGAAAAGGCTTCTGACATTATTAATATGAGCGTGCACAGCAGTGATAAATCACTGAGCTGAAAACTGACAGGTTCTGAAAAGTACAGAAAGGAGATTCAAGACTTGAAAGTGGTTGTGCAGAAGATCTAGAGAAGGTTTCTAGAAATCAAATATGAAGTGAACATTTGATGGATGAGCACCAGATGCTAAACCTGAATAAATTTGGCACAATGACATCACTGGCTATACACTGGAGGTTTGTTTGAGATAAAAGCATAGTACTTGAGAGTAGGGAAGAAAGGAGTAAATCCTTTCAAACTAACTGAATGGGTAGGACACAATAGATGGAAAATTTTAATCCAAGTTACTGAAGCTGCTGGAAAAATTACTAGCAAGCCACACAAGCCACTGACAGAGTTCCATAAAGACAGAGTGAAACCCAAATACAATCTAATTTAAGGACAAAAGAAAAAGGTAGTTTGGGGAGTTTAGGAGAAGATATGCACATCTCCCAGCACTACCTAGAGCCTCAGACAGTTGGTAATGGAATAGCAGACAGCAGTGCAGACTCAGTCCTCCAAACCACAGATGAAAATAAGAGTGAGAAGCTTTGAAACCATCTGGAATCATTAATATAGATAAACATCTTGTATTTCTTACTGGAGAGCTGGTTTCTATGAGGAGGAGTGTTATGGTGAAATCTTTGTCCCATTGAAAATGGAAATTGAATTTCTGGGCTTTATTATGTGACCTGAAGAAAGTGTGTTAGCTAACTATTTATAAACGAATTTCTATGGTCATGTACCTTCCGTGCCTTTTAGGAAAATCAGCAGGCTACATGAGTTATAAAGCACAAACTCAACTTTGCATTACTGACAAGAGTTCACATGCATTTTCCACACACACTGACAAGTGTGTTACTGTGCTTTATTATTTCTGTCCCAAAACATCAATTTCAGATTTTCTGGCCTACTAAATGCCAAATCTGTCCTAAGATTCCTACTTGAGAATTATGCTAGGCAATTCTCCCTATGCAGAACGACTGACGACCTTTGCTTTCCTAAGGCTTGCAAAGACACTCTAGTTTCTTCTTATATAAATATCCTTCTGTAACAAGTGGAGAAGATATTCACAGAAGGTACCTCCTTACACCAAAACTTGACTTTAACACTTGCAGAAATGGTGTAAATAGGCTTTTGCTATTCTTTCAGTCAAGACCAGAACAGAAGTCACAGACATTGACAATACCAATCTGGACGATGGTAATTTTCAATTAACTTTGTGGTCTTGCTCTTGTTTTGAGAGATTGCTCTCGTTTACACACAAGATAATATACTACTTAATAATTTATTTTATGCTGTTAACTCCTAAAGTCTTGATCCAGGATGTAACAGCCACAAAATGTATCAGAGTTGCTATTAAATCCACCAAACTTAGCCATTTACTAATTTGTTACGAAACCAGTTAACTGCTGGCCTGAATTCACTAGGTCATACTCATGATTTCCTGTCAAACATCTGCAGAAGATCAAGTTATTCTTCATGGTTTGGCCATAAAATTTTGCTCTATTTCTTTAATTGATTTCTTTCACAGACTCTTTTTCCTTTTTTGATTCAATTTCAATTTGGGGTGGAACAGTCTTTATATATTAAACTCAGAAAGTTTTGATACCATTTCTCTTTATGTGTCAGTTCTGAATTAATTGCTATCCAACCTACACATTTTTTATGCTGATGCTGTTATTCTGCACAACATTTTTGCAGAAAATCTCATCCTACTCCCACTGAAGTCATTCAGTTGGAACCTTCATCACTTTAAATAATCATTATACTATGCAAAGGCAAGAAATATGCAATAGCAACAGTCAGAAAGGTCTATTACTTTACATTAAAATATAGATGGGTTGGGAATAGGGCTAAACAAAGTCAAGAATTCATAAAAATTAGTGCAGCATTTTTTTCTTTTTGTTCAGTTTTGGTGATGGAGAAATTTGTAAGTTTTGCCTTTCTTTCAAACCCCAGTTTTTTAGTAAAACCCACTACAGTAAGTGTAAGGCAGTATCTTTTTACAAGTGCTGGATGAAAGTATGTTTTGCTCTGATACAAACCATCCCAATACTGCTGAAGAAGTTCAAACAAAGTAAAAAGTTGTGTTTGGAGGAGGAAAGCGATTGCACTAAAGATTTCACAAGTAAACAAGACTCCTAAAAAGGGAGAGACTGCAGATGCAGTCTCCTCTTGCCAACTGTATTTTTGCCCCTACTCTATGAACAAGTATAAATCCTCTCCCACACTCTGGCAGACACTTTCTTCTGTCTGCATTTAATCAATATTTTCCTATTACAGGCCCATTTTCCCCTCCTTCAACTTTTATCACTTGTCCTTCGTTAAAACAAATCACATTTTCCTTCTTTAGTTCTCTCACTTCTTCCTATTCAGTCTTCCTCTAGACCTGACAGATCGCCTCTCCATTACCCATCGTGCACTAGTAGGTGTAATTTGCTTTTTTCAGTGCTGTAAATACTAGCTAACGTTTTCCCCAGTGCACCCAATGTGATGAATTAACGGTGCTTTGGTTTGAGAAATGCTGTGTGGAACCAAACTTGTGTCGTGTTAATCAACATAACATGACCCGAGTATGTATGGTAAGAAGAAAAAACCATTGAAGTGAGAAAAATTTGCATGGGTTCCAAGGAGCTTTGGGTGATGTCTTTGATACTTGTATTAGTAGGAGACAGAGCTAAAAGGGATAGGACAAATGGGATCCTTGAAACTGTCCAGTTTATTCACAGAGAGACTATTTAAAGTCATAATAAGCTATTCCCGTCTCTGCTTTTTCTGTACATCATAAATAACCACTGAAGGGAATAATTACTGTTGGGGTTACTTCATAAAGAAGATGTTATTTGAATTTTAGAATAAGAGGAAATGGAGTTATATATTCAGCTTGAAATAGAATTTATTGCCTATACAAGACAAGCTTCTCATGTCAAGCAATATCACATTTCAACAGAAAATTGGCTCCTTGCAACTGAACAAAATGAACTCTTTTTTTCCCCTCAAAATATTTCAAATGTCCTAATTTATGTGACCTACATTAAGACAGAGTTATCAGGTCGTTATGTGCCTAATTATACAATAATACCAATTTGACCTTAGGTAAGAATTAATACTGCAAGCCTGTCTTGCAGCCAAGATGATACAAAATCATTAATATGTATATACACACACACGTGCAATTTTTTCACTACTCAAAATACACCCAGTGGGGAAGTATAGGCAATGTGATTTTTTAATGTAGGTTCAAAGACTGTTTTGATGCTATTCATGGTGGTGTTTATTGCTTATTGTATAAACTGATAAAGCAAAACAGTAAACTAAAAGTAATACTTCTGTTGTAGCAACTCTCCAATATTCACGAAAATACTTGTTTTAAAAAAAATTTATTTCTGTTTAATTTAACCCTGGGAAAGCACTGACTTAAAGAAAAATCTACACAACGGCCAAGTTAAATAAAAAAGCTGATTATTTTCAGAGTATCACATAAGCCATATGTGTTATGATCTGACCTTCTGGAGCTGGTTTACTCGCATTTGTTTTTTCTGGATCCTTCACCTTGGATTTACTCGTTTCTTTTCTTCTCTCTATATCTTTAACTGAAATATAAAGGGGGAAAAAATAATCAGTCAAACTAGAAACAATGCAGTCAGAAGCATATAACTTCTTCCAGATAAAGAAGTCGCACACAACATCTTGCAACATGCTTAGGTAACAAGTGATCCCCTCCCTCCCTTAGGGTTTATTCTTTTTATTAATCTTTCCCCATCCTATCATCATTAACGTTCTCAAAAGTAACTCTTCTCATATAGGAGAGTCCAAATACAGTGACATCAGCACCTAAGCCCACGCTGACAAAATCCAGCACTGGAAATACAGTCCATAAAATTGGCAAAGCTAGCTGGGGAAAGTCCAGCATCGCCGAGTTCCACTCCAAGTCATTCAACACAGTAACACATAAGCCAGCTGTTACATTATCCACTTTAAAGAATCAACTTAGATTCTACACCCAAATCTATGTTCAGGGCACCAAATACTCCCATGAGAGCAAAGCTGGTCCAAAGCTCAGACTTCAACAGTTTCCCATCCCACAAGTGGGTGGGATACCTCCCTTATTATGTACCAAATATGTCACAACAGCAAAGAGGAACCCAGCTTGATCAATAATTCCTAATGTTACATTACTAGCCACTATAACTCTACTTATAATCTGAAAAATTCTGGCAAAATCATTGAAATATTTTTTTTCTAATAGGTGACTTTGGCAGAATTTCCTTAGAATGCAAACTATCGTCAAAACCCCAGCCGCCTACAATGGGCAGGAACAGATTAAAAGAATGAAGTAGAGAATATCTTTCATAGAAAATAAAATTCTACTCCAGTTAAGATCTTCTGCTTATGTAGAACTGGACTATGCCTAACATTGACGCAAGCAGGCACTGAGCCTTAGCCAGGGTCAGAGTCTCTCTGTGCTACATCGTTCAAAAAACGTTGTCAGAGGGTAGAAGAAGATTATCCCTCTCTTGAAACATATAAAATAGACAAAACAAGCATTCTGTTTCACAGAAGTGAAACCAAAGTTGAATGAATTTAGACAGTTTATCCCATGGTATACAGAAAACCTGAAAAGGCCAGAGCGGTCTAAGTTCCATTCTAATATATAATCACAAGATCATCCTAAGGTCTTACAAATACAAAAAGCCATTGCCAAACATCTGAGTGCGACTTCCTCATTTAATAATCCTCTGAAGAGCCTACAGCACTCATGCTCCAGGTATGTTTCCAGAAACGAAAACTGGTGAAAAAATAACCAAAGTTTTGACTCCTCTCCTTACTAACACAGTGTTTGTACCTGTACATCACTTCCAAATTCAGTGAACAGTTGTGAAAATGATTCAGAAACAAATTTAGGTCCACAATGTTGCTAAGGGATCAGCTTTTACCAAGGTAGATCTTGGTTACTAGCTGGGTTACAGATAAACCATAATGACACAGGTTTTGCTCACAAGTCTGGGTTTAATCCTTACCTAAACAAGTTTCCAACCAAAAGAAAAAAAGTAAAATTACCAGAATTTTAGTAGTCAAAAAAGGATGCCACTGCTTAGCCTTCTAAGAGCACTCCTTTGAAAGAAGGCAGAAGGCAAGTTAAGGAGCTGCTTGATGGCCTCCTCTAATGCTAGTGCTGTAGAGTGGCAAGTCTCCAGAGAAACAGTACAAAAGTCTGAAAAAGCTCATAGGAGACAAGTTGGTCTCGTCCTGACAGAGATTTCTGGATTTGGGAAAGCCATTTCTAACTGTCAAATTCTAACCACAAAGGAAGAACAGACAAGACAACACTAGTTTTACTCATATATTTATACAAGAAAAAAAAAAAAAACCAAAACCAAAACCAAGACTTCCTAGTACATGTTTCTACAGCTACGTTTTTAAAGTAAAAAATTCCCCAGTGATCCTTGTTAATTACATGCTTACATACAATAACTTACAAGCAGCACTAGAATAAGAAAGAATACCTGGTTATATGAAGGGGAATGCTCTTTTTAACAATAAAATTTTATTGTAGACTTAAGAATTCTTTGAACATCACTTACAACTCACCAACACTAAAATCATACTTCCAATGCACTAAACCAGGAGAAATTCTCAAAGCTTTGTATGCGTTTGATGTTCTTTTCCTCTCAAGAAATAGTGACCACTTGTCAGAGAAGGGGAAAAAAAAAGAACATAGGATAGCAAAAAAGGAGGATTTGTGTACATGCTGTATCTGATTTTATTCATACAAGGCATCAATACTGTCAAATGAAACTCCAGCCTCTTGAAGTGCTACAAGTTTTCGCCTGCAGCAAAGAAAGAGCATATGAAACAACATAACCCCCATATTCTTAAATCAATTTGCCAGCTCTACTTTTCCAGAAGAATAGAGGTAGCTTAAAAAACAGCCACACCTAATATTACAGAATTTTGTGTAGCTTTCTGTGGGCTGTTCTTTAATGCTAAAGTAATCTGTGGTTTTGTGGGTTTCCTGACCAGGATACAACTTGAAGTAGTAAACACATAGTTGCAGTGATGAAAAGCTAGGAAGACTTTGACATGCACCACATCAAGCAGTCCGCATATTTTACCTTCTGCTGCTTCTTAGGGAAAGTCAGTTTAGCAATGACAGTGAAAAATATTCAGTGCCTTTAGCAATGACAGTGAAAAACATACAGTGTCAAAGGAATTCAGTAGGCTTTCAACTGTACTCCCAGACTGTCACGTTTTTCTCTTTATCAACCAAATCTCCACTGATCACTGAACTGTTTAACCACAGATCCAGACGAACCAGCTAAGACATATATATCACTACAATACAGACATTAAGAGTATGTGTAGGGCAGATAAAAAAAAAAGCCTTAAGCATAATTTGTAAACATTAAGTAAGAATTATGCCTTTCATAATATCATTGAACTAACAACTAGTTGCCAGTTGGCATAGATATAAGAATGTTTTAATAAAAAGTTGGACAGAAGGAAGGAAATCTTTTAAGTATCAGAATAGAGCACTTCCCTTCTTGTTTCCGCTCACTGAAGACTCTTTTCCACAAGGCTCTCACTAATTTTGTAACAGAATGGGGCAGAAAGGGATTCCAAACCAATGGAAATAAAAATAGCCAAAGCAAGAATCTCCTGTGCAAGAATGACTAGACTGATTCAGATCTCCAGCTGTACATGTACCAGCTCAAAGCTGTGGCTCTGATTAGCCTTCTACCACAGAATAAACAGTTTTTCCATTGTCCCTCTGTGTCAGACTTCAATCAGATTAAATATCTGATAAATTCTACATGTCAGGCATAAAGAGACACATACTTCTGAACTGGCCTTGTGCTGGCTTACTCTCCTTGTCTTCATTGAATGCAATGATCTGAAGGGCATAGTTTTGATCTGGAATAAGACCTTGAATAATTGCTTTGGTTGCAGTGTTTTGAAGAATTAATTGATTGGTTTTTCCACCTTTAAGAGAAAAAAAAAAAAAACAACAACACACAAATCAATAACATTGTTAGTTTTAAATCATTACATTTATACTGCCATAGGAAAAGCAAACTCAATCTCTACAATGACAAAAGCATTATCACTTTGGGATTATCCATACAGACAGGCCTGAAAGCATCCCAGAAAACCAAGAAGCCAGGCAGCCTGATCAAAGACACAGATCAGTTTTCTTAGATAAAAACATTCTGAGATCAATCAAACAGCCTTTGTATGTGGGCCTCATGGAATAACCATGGTGTCCAGCAAAACTATTAAGAAAAAAAAGAAATATTTGACAAAAAACTGTGAAGTTTGGTAAAAATCACACACAGGCTTTCACACTGCTCCGTGGTCAGGTGCAAGTTCAGCCCTCAACATACCCATGTTATCTTGGAATATCCTCTTTGCCCACTTCCTCTGAGCAAGGAAATTCTCATGTATAAATACAAGTATTAAACATTTCTATGTGGAAAGATTTTATATAAACATGTACAAATATGTATTTTACCTGTATGTTAGAAGTATAGCTATCCATAAATTAAAATATGTACAGAAATAGTATCTCTACACAGGTAGCCAGATAAAGCCAAATATTTTAAATGACAACTTGAAATGTAAAGATAGGCAAGAAAAATTAAGAGGTTTTTTGAGGGGTTTCATTTGTCTGGGTTTTTTTTTTTTTTTTTTTTGTCTTTTTTAAAATTTAGTCTAAAATCTTGTTGGTCTTTTCTGAGGAGCTCACTATGGGAGAAGGCCCAGGGAGATCCACCTCAAAGCTTTGACTGAAGGAGCATTCTTGTGTTCTCCCTTGAATACTTCCCAGACCTCCTTACAGCCCACCGGGAGAGAGGTGAAGACAGATGATCAGTAACAATTCCCAAGGACCACATAGGAAGCACAAGTAGCCTCCTTCCACTTGTACTACCTTAATCTTCCCATATTCTATACCTATGACCACCCTCTGGTGAGACTCTTTTCTCTCTTCTGGTGACCACCCAATACCCTGTTATCCACAGCTTGCTCAAAGTTCCTTAGTCCTGAAGGACGACACTAGCCCCTGAAAAGCTCTTCAGCCTCAGAAAGACAGCCCTTTGACCTTAAGGAAGAACATCCAGACTTTTGTTTTTACCTGAACTTGGAGTGACAAGAAGCTTATATCCAGTGAATTGCCCCTTTGGGGCTTTCCAAGAGATCTGTACACTGTCAGGACTGACTACATTATATCTTAGCCTTGTCGGTGGGGACACTGCAAGTGGGGACAGAAAACAACATTTTAGATTCAAATAAATAGCAACCACAAATTTTAAACAAACACAGACATATAGGAAGACAACACAAAATTTTAATGATAAAGGATGCAAGTTATTCAAAATACCACATACATCAGTTTATTAGTTTGTAAAACGACATCCCAGGTGCACTACTTCCCTCAGACATACCTTTTATTTATCTCTTTATAAAAACAAACTAGCAACCTAACACCAGAGGACAGAAAGACAAACAGAGTTAGATGTTAAGACTCTAGTTTAGCAGGCAAAGCTGGTAATAAAAATGCTCTTTGTTAATATATGGGACTGAAAATTGCTCTCCTGGCTTACACTGACAATATGGGTTCCCTAGCTTCCTCTACCTCACATTACCATGGGTGTTTCCCCATATTTAAGGTTTCTCAGGGCCAAATTTTCAAAGCCTTGTGAGGACACAGTAACCAAGAGGAAAGATAGGCATGCACAAGGCAGAGGGAACGTTAGCTGCCCCGTTTGCAAACCTGGCCTAAGCAGCCCCCAGACTTGCCCAGCTGCAAGCACTGCTTCAGCTCTTCAGGACTAGCAGGCATGCACGGGCTAGTCGGGATTCAGACAAGGCAGTCTGGATGGTAAACAGAGCTGGCTTCTGAGCCACCACCTAACTTTCATACAGAAGCAGCAGGTGAAATGAATAAAAGCATGAAATGATGGAGAAAGAGGTAGTGGAAAATTCACCCTACATCGTTACTTAGCATCAGCCTCTTGTGTCTGTGCATACAAACTAGTTTTTCATACCTTTGCCCTGCTCAGGCAAGCTCCACTGATGCTAGACAACACTCCGTGTAGTGTTTTTGCTCTGCTCAAGGAGCCACATCCCTCCTTCACAGCAATCAACTCAAGCAGAGCTGCTACTTCTGCAGCCTGTGGTATCCAAGGCTGTCAATAAGGGGAAGTTTTCATAGATTGGAATAGGGTTTGGTTCACAGAACTAAACTACAAAGGAAAGGCAGCCAGGGAAGCTACCCAGAGGCTGAACAACAGAAAGGGCTAGAAAAGCTTAATCTCCTCCATCAACCTTACCCCTCATCTTCCCAGTACCTCCACAGCCCCCTGAACTTCCTCCTTCATTTTCCAGACCCTTGGTGTCTCCATCACTTAAAGCTTCTGTTACAATGCTCAAGAAATATCTAAAGGGAAATGGCATTTTTTTTTCCCTTAGGGCCCAAGGCAGTTCTTAATTGACTAGGGTCATGCCCATGGTCTGTTGGTCCACTAGATGTAAGAAACCAGCAGTTCTCATGATATTTCTGAGATTTAAGGATTACAGCATACGGAGCATCTGAGTCAACAGGCAGAATGTGCAAGCCAACAGTCTGGCCTCTCCGTTTGACCTGCTACACTCAACGCAGCTCTGGCACTAGCCGCAGCCAAAGGCCTGTCCTGAACTGATTACTTTTTCCTACGTGCTTCTTTTTCCAGCAGCTTGGGGGAAGAAAGAAGGAAAGAGGGAGGCTGTAGTTTTTTTTAGATATGGGGTAGTGGTTTTTTTTCTAATCTACCATTAGAAATATTTTGGGTCTTAAAAGTAAAAATCTGGAGGTTTAATATGAGATTCGTATTCCTCCGCATCCAGCCTCAGTCCTTAACAGACATTTCTGCCAGACCACGGGCAGGTTCTGGAGTCTAGAACTGACCAACAAAACACAGAAAACAGAGTACATAAGCACCAAGAACAGCTGAGTAACACCTCCACATTCTCAAAGACTTCAGAGAACACACTCGAGAAGAGAGGCAAGGGGACAGAAACAGCAGGTAGCACGCCAGTTCCACGCTCAAAACTGTTCTGATCCACAGCATGGAGCTTCCACCCAAACAGTACATTTCCCCAGCTGCTGGGCACAATCTTGTCAGACCTCATCTTCAGACTGTGGGTCACCCCCTGATGTTTAGAGAAAGAGAGGCTGCAAGCAAGAGTGTGTGCAGAAATCACTGCAAAAAGAAAAACAGTTCTTTGAAAATTTGGCCCTCATATTGCAAAATGTTTTGCTGGGCAGGTTTCTGCAAGAATATTCAGCGTCCTATAATTGTAATAAAATGAGAGAGACTACGGCAAAAAGCTTTGAAAGCCAAGCAGACTGTAGTTATGGATTGCAGCTTTTAACTCATTCTCAAGATTCATTCTGTCTGAGAGTGATACATAAATCACAATGAATTGGGGCTGAATGAACCGAGTGACAAATCATACATAGAAGTTTGCAAAATATGCAATTTATTATTTACTTCATCTAAAGAATAGAAAATAAATTTTTGAACAATGACAGCATGAAAGTGTAAAAATGCTGCACATTTTACCAGGATTAAGCAGTAAATTTGTACGGGGATTAAGGGGCAGAGCAGAGAGCAGTAAGTAACACCAAGGATTGGCCAGAATTTCTGAGTTCATTTTCTCTGCCATCTTCTTCCTTCCCCTGTCATTGCATTCCGTCCTACTTTCAGCTTCAGTTTATAAAAGCACCTTCTAACAAAGCAGCATAGTTCTGGCCTAATTACTATTACCCGTCACCAAACCAGGTAAATTTTGGGAACCCCCAAAAACAATCACAGATCTTACAAGCAAAGAAAGACACAACCACCAGAAGTTTTTCTGTTTACTATGGAGTTACAATGTGAAAGACTAGAAAAGTTGTGCCAGAATAGTCTTTACATAACTAGACTGTTTTCACTGGGTACTTTTTGTATCAAAGGTGGCAGTGCAGGGGAACAGACATTCCACACAGCAATTAACCATCAGGAAGAAGAGAATTATTTACCAGACAGAAACTCAAATGTGTCTTAGTTGTGCAAAGACTAACGTTCTGGCAAAGAAAGTACATATAGCTAAGGAAGTTAAATATCTAACACTTGAACAGACAACAAAATATTGATGGGAATTACTACACATTCACCAACCTGAAGAGGGTATCTTTATTTCTTTGGACCTTTATTGTCTGTGGAACAAAATCTCACTTCTTGCAGAAAGGGAAAAAAAATAATCCAAGCCGAGTCAGTTAACTGATAAAAATCAGTAGCTAGAGCTTGTTAAGTGGTTTTACAGGAATGCAAAAGTGAATGGCCATCAGCAACATTAGAGCAGTCACCCAAAAGAAAACTACAGACAAGTGCAAGGCTTTGTTTTATGCCACCAGATAAATTAGCACTCCAAACACACAACTCCTGTGGACAAATAGGGAATGTTTTGAACTATTCAGTATCTTAATGGAAAGGGAAAATACCATAAATTGCATATGTGCAGCTAAGGCATCCAATAATCTAAGACTGGCTACTAACTAAACCTAGTGGCTTCCGATTTATTTTTGTCATAAGAATTGAACAAGTTAATATGCACTGCAATTACTTAGCAATCACATTAATAACACATGGAAATTATTGCAACACAAAGAAAAGTTTCCATCTTTAAATATAGAAGGAAAATTCCTAAAGCAAGTTACTCTATGAATAAAGGGAACATTCTAAAGCAATTTTTTTTTGCCCAGTACTATTTTTGTGTGCTGTATAAGAACATAAGTAGACAAAAGCTGATTTTTTTTTTTTGTTGCTATTGTTTAAGTGACATTATGTTGAATGAGGAAGGAATATTGAGTAAAATCTAAATGGCACCATGTGGTTTATAAGATATTCAGACAATAAATGAGAGAAAACCATGTAGCTCAACACAGGTAACTCCTCAGGTGAAGGCATAAGCTGTAGCTTCAGGCATATTAACTTCAGTCTCCAAAACATATTTTCCTTTCCAAGAAGTCACATTACACACCTTTACCTGAGCATCTTTGCCAAAGGAAGGAAATACAAGCTGCAACTAATACCAGCTCTTCCTACACCTTGGCAGAGTGTACAATTTCTTAAAACAAATGTACTGTTTGTGCTGTACTAAACTGTAAATAGCCAGCTGCATGAAGTTTACTGCAACGGGTGGCAACCTTGAGAAAGGAAAGGATCTGAGAAACATCTTATGACTTTTAAGTGTAGCAAGAGTTTTATTCTGTAAGCATGAAACAAGAGACTTCATATCACCTAGTTTAATAACATAACAGTCATTTTGGACCAAGGCAATAGTTCACTTTGCTTAGTATCACACTGCTGACAGCATTCAGCTGATGCTTGCTGGAAGAGTGTAAGAACAAGGGAAGTATTGTTCTTTATTCATCAAGTACACCAACTCTAGCTTCTGCTGGTGTGATGATTGTGGAAAAAACTCTCTCTGACCTTCATTTCACTGTATTAATAATAGTTCGAGAGTTTTCTCCCTTACATACGACCTATTAAATCAACATTTAAAATAAATATAAAAGAGAGTAGGAGGGATGATTATGGTTTTTCAAGCACAAGGAATCTTGCAAAACTTTCTGGAGATGGATCTCAATCCCCAGTCCTATTTTGCAAATTTTAACCATATGTATTAGGACTGAAATACACAGAGAGGGACTAACCATATGCTTTGCTTTATTGGCTCATTAAGTCACAAACATTCTGGACCTCATTTCTGACCAGAATTGATGTGTTGAGCATGAGGAACATGTATTTCTTCATTCACCTCACATCTCCTACATTAAATATTACTGTTTACATGTGTCCCTAAGTTCTGGGAGAGGCTTATAAAACACTTGCAGACTTCCAGACATTCAAGATGGTATGTGCTTCCCAGCACTCGAGTGCCACGCAGACTGGACCTCTCTGCTGCTTGCATTTACCAGGACTTGGAAAGCCTCAGGTTGATGCTATTCTCTCAATGTGCTCATGAATAATGCATTATATAAGACACTTTAGAAGAGACACAGGATAAAATTCTGCTCCCAGTTATGTCTATGCAGTCTCATATCAAAGGGTTTACTTAAACATAGACTTGAGAGACACATCTTTCTTTAGAAATCATAAAACCTCATTGGCATTCTTCTTTTCTTCTTCCCCAAGCAACAGGCTAAGTTTTCTCTACAAGTCAAACCACGGTCAATACGATCCAACAAGTATTTAAGCCTAACAATCTCAACAGTATCTTTTAATACCTACAAAGGAGATATTTTTTAAAAGCTGCAGAACTAGTCTGTGACATTTAACAGTCCTGTGCCATCTTGCAAAATGTGTTACAATAGCTACTGCTCCAACAAAGAAAAAAATACATGTTCCATACAAGCTTAGTGTCATAGATGGTCCATCAAACTTACTTTATTAAACAGAGGACAGACATAGCAATTTCTGATCAGTATTTTCATGCAAATAGAAGTAAAAAAAAAAAAAACAAAAAAAAACCAAACAAACAAGCAAATGTTCCATATAAGTCATTTGGAGACACCTGAATTTGCAAAATGATTTATGCTGTCTGAGATACTACTGAAAGACCACACATGAACATATAATTCTACGCTCCCCTTGCCCATTCAGAGATCAGCAGCAAAACTCCTGCTTCATTTCAGTCATACTGGATCTACATCCTAAGAGGAAAGCAACACTTGCATCTGGAGTAAGAAAGCCTGTTTCTGCAAATCAGAGTGAAAAGCTCCATCTTGTTATTTATGGCTTACCTTGGCCCTTGGCATCACTGATGAAGAAAGCTGTGACAGTTAAAAAAGCCAAGAAGAAACAGCTCTGTATCTCACACCGCCAAAGCATCTTCTTCCCCTCTATATACACAGTATCAGCAGGTCTAAAAACACAGAACGAAAAGATTATTAAACCTGCAAAGATAAGACATCCACTTTAATGAAAACTGTGGACAAAATCTGAATCCTGTTAAAAAAAATAAGGAATTTGCCATCGACATCAGTGGAGCCAGGACTTCATCCTGACAGCAGTTACATAACCAAAGAATACTTTACCTGCAAGGGACAAAGAACCCAATTTGGGCAACTTAACAGTTCTGAAAATTCAGCCCATGGGGGAAAAAAAAAAAAAAAAGCTATAGTCTTTGCTACATATACGTGAGTATTGGAAGTAAAGTTTGCTACACATAATGAGTTAGAATGAGGATCTCTATACAACGCAGTGTTGCAAGCACCTCATCAAGATACCTGTAGCAGAGAACTCTGAAGCTTTCAGTAACAAAGTAGGACTAAAACTGTTATTTACTTTATAGCCAGAAAACATCCAGAATGGGATACTAATTTATGTACTTCAGGATGCTGCAATAAAAGAAAAAAAAAAAAAAACAACAAAAACTGCCATGCAAGCCTACCATGAAATAGCAAAAGCCCGTGTGTGCAGCAACCCCTGTGAAACAATCATTGATAGCTCAAGTGAGCAATTTTGCACATCAATTGTCAAAAAGGGCAGAACGTTCTGAGGTAACACAAGTCCTCTTCTCACTGCCCTCTACAGCCTACTCTATTTTTCCTTTTTTTTTTTAATTTTATTTTATTCAACTTATTTCTGTGCTCTCTGCTGTACTACTCCCTGGCACTTACAGTGACTAAACCAGACAGCTCAGAAGGCATGCAGGGTATCAGCTGAGTAACATTTCCCAGTACAGTTATTCAACATATGCAGAAACAGAAACCTCTCCAGATGCATCAACTTGTTCATAACATCACGCTTATAAATGTTTATCCCTCACACAGCTTTACCATACTAGTTGTAGCAGATTTTCTGGGCCAGGAAGAATAATTTTTGCTGCCCTTTCCCGCTAGTTTTTTATGGAAGAATTAAATTAAGATAACTAATAGTAGATGGCTTGCTGTTATCTGAACCAGCACTTTGGTACATTTTAGTTTATGTATTTGTGTTGCACGTCCCACCTATTTAACTCCTGTGTCATTTTCTCTAATATTCCCAGCATTCCATCATTGAATTTTCCTTCCATGTCTTCATGTCTTCCAAGGAAGGCACAGAACAAGTGGTTCAACCAATATAAGTGGTTCTCAAGTAATGATTCTAAACCAATATTAAATAGATATGAGGATTTGACCTACATCTCATTATCTCTTCAAGTATTTGCAATTTGCTGTAGTTACGCAGTATTTGGTAGATCTACTGTTGCAAATTCCAGCCACAAGTGCTTGATATGTCACCTAGAAATATACAGGGGGGTTAATTATTGTGAATTCCATCCCCACAGGAGGTTACCTAATTTTTAGCCAAATTATCAACAAATCTGACACTAAGTATATATTTTGAATGTATTTTTAATCCATCTCTTAAAGTATAAATCTCTCAAGATTTGTCTGAAGAGAGAAATAGCTAGATCTAATAACATAGATGTGCATCAAAAATTTAGGTATTACTACACCCAGCTCTTTGGACACATCCTCCAGACAGAATTCAGAAAGCCGATCAATGTGTCCAGGCTTCCTACCACATGAACATAAAGAGTCAGACAGCCCAGGACCGGATCTAGATGAGCCTAGTGACAGGCAATAGGAAGAATGAAGGGAGTTAAGTCTTAAACAGTCTGAAACCCACCCCTTGTGTATTTCACATTGGGTATCAATGCTTCTCTCCTCACTCGGGAATACAACCTGGAGCAAGTAAATGTAGACTCCTCAAAGAACACCATACAAGTCCTTCTTCAGTGCAGTCACCACTATGTGTGGATTCCTTTCCATGTAATAACCGAGACATTAAAATATTCACTGACAGTAGTGGCTAAATTCCCTGTCTGGTAGATTTGATATAAACCCTCCTCCCAAATAAGAGCTATAAATACTGACAGGTAATCCTGCAGAGAAACACTCTCTAGTGCTGCTTTTAGAAAACAGTCATTGCACCAAGAAGTAACATTTATTGGGATGCATAAAACTAGCGCTGGATAAACCAGGCAGAAGTTCCCCTATGCAATGATCCCCACGTCAAGGGTCACTTAACTAGGAAAGACAATCACCAGCCTGCCAGCCACCTTGTGGCTGACATACGGGAATGAAAAGAAATATCCTTATTCCTCCTCCTTTTTTTTTGTATTCCACCTTCCATTAACTGTTCGGTTAAACAGTTACCTGACAGAATAGCCCTGGCCGCAGAGACCAAAGCCTTCCAACCCAAAAGCCCCACTCATGAGGCGAGCCCCCTCTCCCGGGAGGGCTCCGGGACCCGCCTGCCCAGGCCTGGCTACAGGGCACCTTCTCCCGAGGGAGCAACCCTCCTCTGAGGCCTCCCAGCCGGCAGAAACGCGGCATGCACCTTGTGCTCCGGGCCGCCTCGGCACGGCCCCGACACCCTCCCCGACCCCGCGGGCCAGCGCCGCCCT